GATGTTCTTGGGATTTAAGACATTAAAAGCGCACCACGCTTTGTAATTCATGCAGCGTAGAAAGACACGAATTGTCGATATCGGTAAGCTTCGGATAAAGTACAATGTCACGGAACGCAAATAATAACATCGCACATAGAAATCTTTCGGCAGTGGCATAGATTTTTCTACTCCTCTCCGAACCCAAACGAAAATAAATAAAACAGGGAAACGAGTGCTTTAAATAAAAGAAGAAAAAATTAAATAAATGCACCCGCCAATGGAAATAAATATTTGGAAATCCGTACTTGTGCACGTATATATTATATTATGGGCATAAGAACACGGCAGCGGTGAAGGGAGATGTTTTTTCAACAGCTTGACCTCAGGTGACCACCACGATGTTGAGAAAAGAGCTCTACGTAGTGAAGCAGCTGATCCTTTTTTTCTTTTGACMGAGGTAGCAATTAAAAAGAGTGCAGGAAACAGGAGACGTGTGAAACGGGACTGAAACAGGAGATTCTGTAGGGGAAGGGGGACAAGTAATTATAATAATTCCTCGTCAAAACAATGCAGAGGTATACCCTTATACATAGTCATGTGTTCCTTAGAACATAAAACTACCTCTGTTTGTTATTATTATTCCCCGTTTAGAGTCCTCGATCAGCTTAAATATCATGATATTGCAGGGTCACCCGTCGTAGTCGCTGCCGTCGCCGCCGTTATTTTAATAATAGCTCTTTTGTCGTGAATTCCAAACAAAACGTTTACGTTGTAAATAGGTACGAATAGAACAAGGTAATAACATTGACTGTATTACTATAGTGTGGTTAAGKGGACATGGAATATGATTGCCATTCATTTTATAACAAAAAATCACGCACTAACGGAGCAATTCGTCAACAATACTGAGTTCACATCAGTTTATTGTAATAGTTTTTTTTTTTATTTTTAAATATTACAAAACATGGTTAGACACTAGACAGAATACGTCATAGTGGTTGGACGTAAAGCAAAGTTTTCTACATAATTGTTATAAATTTGAGTTAAAGAATAAAAATAAAGATTAATTCATTAATTATATATTTAATCTATATACCTATATATAAATGGATGTTGGTCTGTTTGTCTGCCTTAATTAATAAGTTCAAAACTTATTGGACCGTTTCAATAAAACTTATAACAATAGATTCTTTGAAATTTAGAATGTGTTAAGCGTAACCCATTTTATTTGTTAAATCTCTTTAGTCTTTGGGGGCTTAAACATGAATTTAGGTTTTGGATCATGAAGAAAGATAATATTATATACTATTTGTTTATTCATAAGGTTGCCATTGGTAACAAATTATAATACAAAATATAATATAGTTAATAGGAATTTAAGTATTTAGTAACAATATTATTGATATACAATAATTATAAAATTCCATAGAGACAATAATCTCAAAAACTAGAAACGTCACGAAATTTTCAATATCGGGATTAGTGTTTATAATTTTCAACTAATAGATCTATAGAAAGTTTTGTAGACAAAACGCTCACGATTCAAATAAAAATAAATTTTACACTGAGACCACAGTATAATAGTTATGATAAATTTAGTTTCTTTAATAGATTTAAAGAAAAAAGAAAAAACCTAGTACCTATGTTTATGTGCATTAACATTAAAACATATTATTCATATAACAAAATATAAAAATATAAAAATTAAAACATAGATCCATGGTTCACAAATTTAATACGCAAAAAAAACAATGCAATAGAGAGAATTTAAAAATAATAAATGTAGGTCAACTCCAAAAAATTTGAGGCAATAGTCAATTTATTGATTTATGGAAACTTTTTAACCAAAAGTAGTTGGTCCATATGCATTTAGGACGGAAATAAATTTATAATGTATATTGAACAAATACAGCAATGCCGTTAAACAGATTTAAAAAGGAAATCTTATATTATTGGCGATAATATAATACGTCGGAAAGATATATATTATAACTTTTGTCATACAAACCACTTATTTTTCATATTACCAGTATAGTTAAATGGAAAAATTCTATTATTTTGGAATGATAAACATAATTCAAATTTGACAGACAAATGAATATAAACCTTAAACCTAACTTTTTCGTTATTTATAAATATCGTGGAAAACTTTTTATGTATCCCCTATAATAACAAATATTATAACATTTAGTTTCTTTGTTATTGAAATTTGACATGTTTCATATTTTGATAATATTACAATAGTTTATTACTTAAATAAAAGATATAAGGGCTACTTAATATGCATATTGTAATTTTTTTTAAATTTAATAACAAAAGTATGCTTATATATTGTACAGATGTTTTATTATAATTAATTGATAACAATTATTTTATTTAACTTATGGAATTTTGCATATACATAAATATTTATAGTGAGGGTTAATAGAAATTTTTATACCACACTATAAAATACTGATCATGTTTAGTGGATCATCCTATAGATGAAAGATTGTAACAAATGTGTGTGAAAAATATTCAGAGTATTTAGACACCAGGTGTTACTGTGTTAGACAATAGTTACACTGTATTATTCACTAAATAAAATATGCTCTGGATTGTAATGTATCATTATTATTATTGTCCATGTTGTTATTATTAATCCTCTAAAACAAATTATACATCGTTGCATTCTAAAAATTATTTAGGACGGAGATTGAATTACTACGTAATAATTATAGGAGTATAGGGCCTTATAAAAACCATGAGATTATTGCCATAAATTCGTTAAAATTCAGGGGGGGACCCCAAATCAGTAAAGTTACAAATTCTCTATTAAATCTATTACTTCTCTCCMAGAGTCAAGTTGCTTGTATAAGGCATTTTTAAAATGCATTGAATATAATACATTTATAATAAAGTCGTAATAATATTAATATAAAAGCCACATACTTAACATAAACAAAAGTAAGTATCACTGATAAACATTTACATTTTATGTTTTGCTAAAAATGTGTTTGTAACGATAAATGTTGTAAATGTAAAAATTCCTCAGTTATTGACGTCTATATATTTTACCGGTTTGATTAGAAAATTATGTTTAATACATTTATGATAGTGTGAACGACATTATTCAAGAACGTTTTCAGTGTATATGCGATTAATCTTCAGAAGTAAAAAATATCATGAAAAAATTAGATAGAAAACCTAACAAGCAAGAACCTACGTAAAAATATGAAGTGGTTTATAACTTTATTGATGTCTATGCTAAGTTATGACGAATAATTGTAATATACAAGTCAAACCACCAGTCCCCAAAAAATGTTCTGCAAATCAGGAGCGAGTTGATTAAATAGTAAATTATCATGCTCATTTTTCATTAGTCATTACTAAAAACAGAAAGAAATTATTATATGTACAGCTTAAAGTATTGGCTCATCACAAAATTTTCAATAAATGTGTGGCTTTTATTCAGTTGGTCTTCACTCTCCTTAAGACATGAATTATAAAATAACATATTACTTTTATTATTACATAAATACATTGGGCAATACAAATGATGGACAATGTCACATTGGAAAAACATGTATATTGGCCATTCGGTATATTTCTGTTTTACCGGACACCCTTTTTTTTCAATTATTGTTATTGAAACTTATGAAGTTAAGTATACTGAAAACGATGGTGAAGTCAGAATTTGAAAGATGGACTTAGTTTTGAAGTTATAGCTAATTGAAGTTTCAACTGTATATGATAACCCTTATAAGGGTAGTATTTATAAATACTTATAATGCTGAACGCTATTCATATTGAACTTTTGCGCAGTAGTAATTTTGCTTAACATTTAAGGTTAGTGTCCGGCGGGCGAACCTCTTCGACGCACGAAATACTTTTGCACTTATTCCATTGTTCTTATGATAAAGATAACCAATAATTATAATTAATTTTTATGTCGTTAAGTGTTTCTTATGTTGGATGCAATGTACATTTCATATCATAATATTTCCAAACGTTTGTATTAAGTTGTGTAGACATAATAAAATGTATAATTTATTTTATATTAAAATATAATAAATACACTATACTAATATTACTTACCATTTTTATATTTCATCTTATTGAAAATGTGTAATACGTCTGCATCGATTAGTAAAGCGAGCAAGTTACCACGCTGGTAATATAACAGTTACACACATTACAAATTTGAAGTTTTCGTTTTTCAAAAAAATTTATAAAAAAATGTTGTGCATTAGGGGTTTTGATTGCTGTATTCTTACCTTGAATGCTAAGCAAACTTACCACTGCGCAACAGTTCAATATGAATGGCAGTAAGCACTAAGCCTAAGCATTATTATAGGGGTATTAAATGCTTATCGTATAAATTTAAAATTTCAATCAGCTATAACTTAAAAACTAAGTCCGTCCGCCAAATTCTGATTTCGCCAACATTTTTTTCGACCAAAAAATGATAAAAAAATGGCCGAAATTAGGGGTATCCGGTAAACCAGAAAAGTTCTGGCCATTCGACATAACTTAAAGTTTGATTAAACAATAATTGGACCTTATGTAAAAGACCAATATTCTTGAAACTGATTTAGTTTTATGCATACATACAAACATTTTTATTGAGAAAGCTATAGCTTTAATGTCCCTCCCTTTTTAAGGATATGCCGTCAGTTATACAAATCTACTGTTCAACACTTATGTATTTAGGTATGTATATCACATATTTTTTCTTCATAATAGATAATTTTATCAAATATACAAAAGTAATAACTACCAAATTGTGTGCCAAGTATGATAAAATCAACTTTCGTCACATCAATGCAACATATAAGAAGTTATTTTTATAAAATAAATGAATAAATAAATTATTAAACAAAATGTGTTAGTATTAATTAAATGGCAATTTTAATTTTAACATGATATTTTAAACTTATTACTAATAAGTTATTAGTTTTTAAATTACGCAATCACCACAATTTATTAATTATTATTTGAGTTAACATTATTTTTTAAGGAAATTTTAAATTACTTACAAATCATCAGGTGTTAAGTGCACAGGTTCATCTGTAAATTCTGGTGGGAAATTGGCAAGATCACGATCAGAATCTAGTCGTGGTTTATATGGAGGGCTAACTTGCTTTTGTTCTAACTAAAAATCATATAAATTATTTKATGAAATTGCATTAGTGTTATGGTCATATTAACAATTTAAAATAATAAATGATAATACAAAATTAGTCATTATGATTTACCATTTCCCAATCAATAGATTTAAAGAATGGATGAGTTATAATATCATAGAAGCCAGTGTCCCGATTACAACCCAAACGATCCACAGGATTCTTATTTAAAAATCCTTTCAAAACTGATGCTGCTTTTACAGAAAGTGATCTCGGAATACGAATAGTTTTTTCCAAAATAACTACAAAAAACAATTTAAAATAGTGATAAAACATTTTTTTTAAATTATCTTTCTTTGTATTATAATACCTTGGAATAGATAGTCTTCAGTATTTTGATCAGGGTTTTCTGAAGCTCCAGCAATATCAAATGGACTTCTGCCAGCCAACATTTCATACAAAAGAACTCCTAAAGCCCACCAATCCACACTGAAAAATACAAAAAAAAATTTAACATAACATTAAGTATTTAATTGAATCTATAGTATAGTAGTCATGTTGGTACATAGTAGTACATATAATTTTAATCTTTCTATTAAGAAAACGCACCATCAAAAATCAGATTTTCTGTGTATCCTTAAATTACACCCTACTATAATGGAAACTGGGCAAAAGGCATTGTGAAGGAATGCACAGGACAGTATTTACTAGTTGAGGTTAAAATTAAAAATCACATACTGGTTGCGGTCATCCCTCAAAAAGGTTAAGTACTGATTGTGGTCACTCAACAAAAAAGTTAATACTCACATAATAATTATAATTTTAATATAATTATTTTATGTTATGCAATTTTATTTGCAAACATTTTAATAATCAGCATTTTTACAGTTTAAAATTAAAAAAATTTTAGGTGCAAATTTGAAAGAAATTGACTTCAGATATTAAAGTCGATTAATTTCACCCTCTTCATAATAGCAGCATGGTTTTAATTTTTCACTTAACATATTATTTTTCAAATTTATTTATACTGCATAAAAATACGTAAGCAGTCATGGACTAACTGAAAGAAATATTTGAAAATATGATCGGAAAATACAATTTTTATTTTATCTATTTTATTTATAAACTTAACAGATAAGTAATGGTGCTCCTACATATATAAGCTATGTATATTATATTAAAAAATATGTTAATCGCAATAATATGAATTCTGCCTGGAATACGGGCATTTTAACGCTGTGACCTCAACTCAGATACAGTGGAATCCGCTTATTGTGGGCACCGGTTAATATGGGCATCTGCTTATTGTGGGCAAACAGGTCTGGTCCCGATACAAATGTATATTAACAATGTTAAATCTAACCGCGTAATATGGGCACTCGATTCGGTTTATGTGGGCAAATTTATTTTATCATAGCGTAAGAATATACACATAATATATATCTAAAAACTACAAATTTAATCGGATTTCGTCATATCTACGAGATTGTGAATTGTGTTTATCGAAAGTAATAAAAATCATTATAGACAATAAACGGCACGCATTCTGTAACGCGTCAATGCCTGCATTTCAGTTTTAACGTGAATTTAAACGTGACAATATGTCTCGAAAAGATCTCTCCTTATATTTAATTTAATTTATATAGCAATTATTTCACTTTTTTTCAATTATATGGTAATAAAAATAAAAACTTTTTGTAAAATAATTTTTTTTTTTTTTAACTTATTTCGGTTTTTATGGGCAACCGCATTATGTGGGCAAACAGAGCTGGTCCCAACATGCCCACATTAAGCGGAATCCACTGTATTACCAACAATTAGTGTACCGCAAATTTTATATCTGTTTATCTAAAAAATCGTTGTAACCACAACTAGCATACAGTCACACAGGATTGGCTTGTACTCTCACTGGATAAAGTAAAGGTATAAGTTTACAGCATATATTTTTCATTCATTAACAAGATTAATAACCATGCCTATGTCAAATTTAGTTTAAAAAAATGAATACCTAAATCCATAGTCTTCTCCTCTTAAAATTTCTGGAGCAATGTAATTTGGAGTACCGCAAAATGTGCAAGTTGTATCCCCAGGCCTTATTCCTTCTTTACACATTCCATAATCCGTCAATTTTATATGGCCTTCATGATCAAGTAGTACATTATCCAATTTTAAATCTCGATATATTATACCTGAAATAACAATGTAATAATTAAATAAAATATAATATTTGTAAAAATAAAACTTTTAAATTATAGTTCACTTAACCAATTTTGCACTAATTATAAAAATTTATGCTAAAGTATGTGATACTATAAAAATTATAAATAATAATACTACTAAGTATTTATATAGGAAAAATAACTATTATAAAATATATACATACAAAATTGAAAGTTAACTTATAACTAATTAAATTGATGCCTAATCTGTTTTCATATTCAAAGAATTAGTGCTTATCAATATTTTAGATACTTTGTTCATAAAAATGGGTAATATTTCAAATAAGTATTATTTTTTTTTTATTTAGAAAAAATAATTGATTAATGCTTATGGTAAGTGCCTGCAAATTAAAAAAATAATTGAAATGAATTAGAAAATAAATTAAACCAAATTATAAGTATGGTCTTATAAGTATTGTCTATTAAAATATGATTAAATAAAAGGGCAAACATTTTTTTTAAATAAAAATTATTGAAAATTATTTTAAATAAATAAAAAAATTTATAACAAATGAAAACCAAAAATATCAACATTCATGTTGATACTCTTTGTTAAATGTACATTAAATACTGCACGAGAAGTGACTTGGTAACAACACTCTGTTGATATTTTCTAGTATATACACAGCAGATTCTAGTTATAAATTTATGAATCAAACAAAAAAATAATTTTTATGGTAAGCTAGTGTAGTAGTGTTGTGTAAATATTCCCATTTTCCATAATTTTTTTTTAGTTATACTAGGTTATTTTGAACATGCTAAGATTTTTAACATTTGATTGACTCTCAAAGTAAATAAAAAAACCACTTGAAATATTGAAGCAATTATTATACTAATATTTTAACAGAAAAAAAAAATTACATAGAAAACCAATAAATTGATTGCCATACTTGAAACCTAAAAAGCAAAAGTATTTTATACTAAGATATTTGCTTATGTAAGAAAAACAATTTAAACAAAAAAAAATAATTTTTTTATGTGCTCAAGTAGTAATGTAAAATTCACATAATCATAATCAATTTCTTATGGAATAGGAAATAAAAATTAACATGCAAATGCGAATGCATAAATTTACAGCCTTTAAAATAAGTAAGTATCAATGTACAAAACAGCATTTGTTCATGAATATAAAGGGCCAGTTTGATAAAAATGACCTATTTGTACTAATATAGATAGTAGGSTGAACATCGGTTGAAATTATTTTCATTTTTATTTATTTACTTAAATTATTCATAATATACAATGCTATACAATAGTATACTTGATGATTCTTGGGATTCTTGTTTTATTAATTAAATCAACTGGTTTGGTCTTTCCATATTTCATAGATTACTATTTAAATAAATAAATGTATATAACTTTGTTAAGAAAATTACTTGACTAGTTATCTTATTACCGTATCAAGGATTTCATGAATTAATATAAAAATAATTATATTAATTGTCAAGAAAAAATTAGTTATACCTTTAGTGTGCAAAAAATTCAAAGCCAAACTAATCTCTGCAGCATAAAATCTAGCATGTTCTTCAGGCAATCGCCTTTGCCTTTGCATATGAAACATTAAGTCACCTCCACGAACAAATTCAATCACAAAAAATAATCGGCTGGCAGTTTGGAAGCAAGAATGAAGACCGACCAAAAATGGATGATTAGAGGCAGTCTCAAAAACATGTTTCTCTGTTTGTACCCAATCAATATCCTAAAATTAAAAATATATAATAAATATTTTGTATGCACTATTGAACTAACCACTTATATTATATACATGGTATCATAATCTTGAAAAATTATATTTATATTATATACTAACACTAATAAGTAATAACAAGTTCCATTGAGAGTGTGTAAATTTTGGTTTAATAAGAATGAAAAACTATTGATTTATCCGAGTACAAATTGGTTCATACAAAAATTATTTAAGGTTATAATTCTTTAAATTTGTATTTAAAATTCAGTAATATAAATATTTTTAGGAGTTAAAATAGTTAATAGATATAACTAAGCTGAGAAGAATGGTTGCTCATAAAAAGACCATAAAAATGTTTAGATGATCAGCTGTTTTTGACAATCAAACATAATAAGGTAACATACAGAATGCTTGAATTTAAAAAATATTGGTCTTAATATGAACATTAAAAATTATAATATTTCTACAATTTATAGATTTATAATATAATTCTGCAATGTTTAACCCTTTAACTAGTATGAACGCACATACGCGTCCTATCATTTTAATATTCAAAAACATCTGTTATTGATAATGTGATAGTATCATAATATTGTAAATAATTAACTAAAATTTACTGAAAAAATGTCCAGAAAAAGATTTTTATTGATAGTTAATATTTGAACTATAACAATATATAAAACAAGACAAAAATAAAATATTTAATAATACAATTTTAACCCAGCATAGTTGCTGTAAATTGAGAAAAAATAATTTAAGAGTGAGAGGGTTAATCGTAAATAAACATACTGTATGCTTGCTTATTTAACATCAATASATATTATGATTTTAGATATTATTAATATATACATATTAATTACTTCATCATCTGTAACAAGTGCTTTTTTTATAACTTTCATAGCGTAGATGCATTTTGTTTTTTTAAGTTCAACCATGAGAACTTTGGCATAACTTCCACGACCAATAACCCTAATTAGCTCAAAGTCTGCAATAGAATATTGACGTGATACTCCAACTTCTTCATCACCGGCTATAAAATATATAATTAAACATAAAATGATACTGTAATAATATTATTGTGAAATATTACTTTTAGCTTGTGGATCTTCAATGGGTACAGAATCAGCAGATTGATCAATAACAGAATTTTGATCAGAATATTCTTTTAAATCCGGTATAGCAGTATCAGAGCTAGGTGTACCTAAAAATGATTACCATGATCATGAAATATACATTATAATTGTAATATAATATTTTTTTATAATTACTTAGAGATGTCTGTGAATCACCATTGGTGTCTTCATTACCTATAGGATCATTTGTGCAAGTTTTTTTACCAAGCTTATGACATTTTTTGTGAATAAGCAATTTGCATTGAATACATTTGAATCCTTGCCGTCCTAATCCCCAAATTCGATCATGACAGTATGCACAAAATGCTCGCTGATTTAAGAAAAAAATAATATTCAATTAGTAATAACTTATAATGTTATAGTTATATATCATATTCAACTGAAACAAAATGTTTAATATCACCGTTACTATTACATACTAAATTATTGTCATGTACTTGATGTTTAGTAGAAAAACTGCAAAATATTCCCATATTTTATATTTTAATTAAAAACAATGAATAAATGTTTAAAATAAAGAACACAGAATATAACATTCAAACTTATCTTATTTGTTGAGAAACACACACACATATATATAACCTTTAAAATTAATTATTACTATTTTTTAATAACTAATTCATATTTAATTAAACGTCAACATACTTTTTATCTTACTTTTATTGTATACAGAATACAGATATACATAAAAACTAAATGACCTTAGACCTCTTTCTAATGGAAAATATAGTTAATATAATTTAAAACTATTAAAAGATATTAATTGCTTAATAACACATAAAATACTACAAGTGAATTCAATGTTTAACTGAGTATATTTGTATTAGCTTAATTATAAAACATTTTTAAACTACATTATACTGATTCAATAACACAAAAGGAGTCAGTAGTACCTAATGTAATTAGTTAATAAATTACACTTATCTTTAAATACATCTAGCTTAAAAATTTAAAATATTTCGATGAAATTTAATTATGATATAATTCCCACAAGCCTAGCTAAAATAAAAATATATTTTGAAAATGTCTCAATATCTAAAAATAGAGTTAAGTAGAAAATTAATACTGAAATCAATAAGACTTATTTATTATACATACCCTGTTAAACCTTTTAGGTTGAAAAATATGTCCATTCACTCGATATAGTTTCCTCCATCTTCTGGCTCCACGTCTGTATATACTACCTACAAATTATCAATGTATTTTTCCCATAGTTAAAAAAAATTTATATTTTATCTATTTTTTTTTTTTTAAATATTTTAAATACATTTACTTACGATCTTCTCCTTGACAAGGCATTCCTGGTGCTTGTGGTACATTAGGAAATACTAAAGAAAAGTATAAATTGTAAATGATTATTTGGTATTATTAGTGATATAAGAAAAACATGCATTGCAAATATTAAAATAAAATAAATTTGTCTACCATCTCATAAATTCCAAATAGAACAAGAGCAATATTTATAAGATCTGGTCTTAATTTCTAATTTTCAAGCATGGAAGTTAAAAGACACTATAAATATTGATAAAAATAGGTGTAATTCTTACATGTATTATACAAAATAAAGTATTTGTTAATAAGGTCTGATAGATCATTTATATTTTATTTAATGTCCTAATTTTTTTTATAGATGTTAGATTTCAAATGATGATTTTATTATATTAATTATTAAGTGATGAGCAAAATATATTCTTAAGGATTATAGGTATTTTAAATTTAAAGATGAATCTATTTAATTACTGTATAATTGCATTACTTTATCAAAATTTAGTAAATTAATATTAATATATATAATATATAATTTTAATTTGATCGTTAACATGCATAGTGTGCTTAATGGAACTCAAATTTTAATTCTATGTCCAACAAACCAGCAATTAAAACTTTGTTTGTCAAGTTTGTCAAAACAAAAAGTTTGGGAAAGAATATTGAATATAATATACTTAAGCCATGAAGTGTATAGCTTTTTATTCAAATTAGTTTAGTATAATATTAAAACTAGGCATAAGAAACAAGTATATTATATTAAATATTATCACAAGTAGATCTATTTAATTATTTTCAAATAATAATGAATTAAAATTACTACTTATACTTTACTAACTGGCTACTAATGTAGCTGCTACTACTACTACTACTACTACACATGAATACACGCATACACATCCACACAAAACATATCCGTATATTTACAAACGATTATGATTTTTTTTGGCAACATTACCATTGTATTTGTTACCTGTGGCGTAAACATGGTCTTCATCATCAGAAATAGAAGGAGATGGTGATGGGTCATGAACACTGCAAGGATAATGTTGTACAATAGGAGTAGATTGGTAACCAAAGCAATTCATGTTTTGTCGCATAACCATTGTCGATCCACACGAATCCGGCAGACTTAACGAAGTAGGTGGGGCATACAAATGACGTGGCGGTGGTGTTCTGGGTCGAGAAGGAGGAATATCTTGATTTAACATTATAGATAATGAACCTGGCCCTGTGAATTCTATATCTCCAAGTGAAGGACGACGGTAAAATGTGGAGGTATGATGATAATCATCATCTTCTATGGAACCAAAACTACTAGTGCTGTGCAAGGACTGATGTTGGTAGTATGATGTAGATGGAGGAGCTGGAGTGGATATTGGTACATGATGGTTATAAAAACCCAAAGATGACGATTGGCGTTTTGGTGACTTGCCTCGATCAGAAACAGTAGATGCACTCCAGTAGCCCCAAGCCATAATAGACTAATTCTTTTTAACTATTTTTTATGTCCAAATGTTATTTTTACACTATTGAAACTTAAAAAAATATGTGTTCAAAATGAAATATAATTAGGGTTTGTTGAATAAAAAATAAGGTAAAATGTAAAGTTAATGAATCAGGAAAACATTAAGACTTTAAAATGTGGTTAACAGGTAAGTGAAAATAAAACCGTAAGTTCCGCCTCTTAGAAATAAATGTATCAGATACTAATTCGTAAATATGTTTGAAAAAATAAATATTTGCATATAATTTACTATAGACTCAAGATAAATAAACTAGAACAGAATATTAATAATAATTGATCTGATAAACCATGAATATCAATTCGTTGCGACAATAAACAAACATTGATTGAACAAGGGCGTCGAGTTTTATTATTATTGATGATCCAAATAACAAATAAATAAAATATATAAAAGTCACTTGAATTCACAATGTATTAGTATGATTTTATTTAAACAAAAATGTAAAACGCGTGTAAAGAATTACCATTAATTAGAGAATCTAGATAAGTTATCAACGAATACGTAAACGCACAACCCGTCACAAAAATACGAACGGACACGTTGTACGCGATACGGGAAAGCGTTCATCAACTGCCGCGCAACCCGACGACAAATTGAAAAATCAATAATAATAATAATAATAGTAGTAGTAGAAAAAACCTACAGCACCGACGCCCTACGAGTAGTGCGAAACTGTTAGCTTTCAACAATTATTATTGTCATCATACCGAACGCGTAACGAACAAATTAGTATTTTTATCGTCTACATAATAAACCACAACGCGATGTGTATTGAGCTTTTTTGAGACACAACGAACACTTCTTGTACCACTGGCTTTTGTACGAAGGTTCCACCCTAAAATTAAAACGCCAGAGCGCCGAATCCGCGTAACGTCGGTACTTCCTCCCCCCCCCCACAACCCGTTCACTGAGCCATCGAAGGGGTTGAGGGGAGGAATCCCGCCTGATTCCTTACACCCTCACCGCAACTGTTTAAGGGGTGCCCGTGACCCATGTACCTAACCGGAAAGTGGTGGGGACACGAATGAGAAGGGCACAAATAATAAAGTTGTATTGTAGTTGCAGTTTTGCCGCGATTGACTGACGACGACGAGACTTAAATTTTGAGTACCATTAACATGCACATTAATTCTATTATATATAATACCTTTACATCAAGATTATTTTTGTTTAAAATAAAACCCTATGTGGAAAATTTGATTCAATTTGTTGAGTGATTGGATGGAAGTGGGGGAAGGGATTAGACTTACCATGTATCGTTAATTCGGAATCTTTATTTAGTTCGTATAATCGAACGGCTTCGTCCAATTCCATTTGTGTAGATAATATACATGGATCACCTAAATGTAAAAATATAAATGACAGTCAATACAAATTAAATTTTATTTAAACACACTTAAAAAATTAATTTTTTTTTAAAACACGGTCTACATTGAAAAAAAAATGGGATTTAAAAATATTAATTATGGATGTATAGGGTAAACACAATTTATCAAATTTAATTTAGGATATTTATAATCATTATAATATTTAATGCATACAAAAATTCACCCATATACACACCTAGCCTAAGTGGATAGTATGGTTAAATACGTAGGGAGGGGTTTTTATAATTTACGTAGTACTACATTTAGTTTAAATTAGACTTTTTCAATTTTCCTACAGTTGCAGCTTGTAGATCATATATCCTCAAAGGTTTAAGGATTTATAAATAATAAGTTTAATATTAGTATATTATGTTTATTTGCTATTATAAATGAGTTTTTTTAATAGACGTAATTGTTGAATTAAGTTTACACTTTTTAATTTAATTTGATATGCTGGGCTCAGCCGCGCTCAGGTCAGTATTTTATCAAGGGTTAAACCAAGATATTTAGTATTCAGAGGACTGGGAATTTGGACGCCATAAATAAAGACATCATCGCAGGGGACGAGTCTAAGGGTGAACGTCACGTAGATAGATAGGATTGATCAATTTTAAATCTCCAGTTCATGTACAATCTTCCATAATAGTGAGTTGAAATTGAAAATTTTGCATAGATAATAAAGGGTCGGAGTGAATAGATAGTATAGTGTCTTGTTGTCCACGTAATAAGTAACCATTGTGTTAGAACTACTAGAAGTAGTTGATTGGTCAGTGGCATACTATTGCAAAGGATAGGGAAAAGATACCACCTTTGGGGACACCCGCAGCTAAAGAAGAAAAAGCATAACCAATAGGTACTTGAAAATTATGATCGGAGAAATGCAGTGGTGTAATTTTGAATTGGTTTTGAGATAGGATATAAGTTTATGTTATCATCCTAGTGGGGGCTACATCTCCCACAACCCCTTGACCATTAAATTTCATGGACCATAGTATTATATTTATTTGTTATTATAAATTAAACGAGATAAATGGTATAATAATGGTTTTCAAAGTTATGTTTTAACTACGAAKCGTGAAATTTTCTTGTCATATGTTATAATTGTTGGGGTATCGCAGTTAAACTCGAAAAATAAAAAAAATTCTTAACTATGACGATGTCCAAGAATTCTTATTTCTTATTTTAAAACAAGTGATTACTGGAATTTAATAACAGTTATTTAAAAAAAAAAAGGCTCTGGAGGGATATGAGGATATATAGTATGATTACGATTTAAGGTAACACTAAATATGTCAGGTGGATGACCTTGTATTGCAATTGGGTTTTCGGGAGGTGATAGGGAATACTCAAATACATATTTTCAGATAAATTTCAAATTTTTAACACTATTGGTGCGCGCATGCGCAATACAACTTACAATTTTTTTAATTGAAACACTATTTTTTTCTACATATTCAGATAGATTATTATATTTCAAACATTTTTTGTATAAAAAGTTTTTTTATATTTACAAAACTGACAAAGTTAGAGCAAGTCAAAATTTGGATTTATGCATAATACTTGTTAAATGCAATTTTCATTTATAACTACTGGAAATAATAACATAAGAGCCAAATAAATGTTTAATTTACTTCATCTGTTTACTAATAATTATTTATTTATACTGTTGGTCACTACAATGAATATCTTGAGTATGTGATGATTTTTGTTTAGTAATAAGCTGTAATAGGATTACAATTTTAACTATTTTTATAGTGGTATTTTGTTTTATTTTRCAATAGCTCTAAWAACGATTAATGAGTAAAATGGATTATTATGAATGTAAAATTTKMTATGTTGTATGWTTTTAACATGGCGAGCATGGTGTTCTCAAAGGTGTAAACACTATCTGTAACTATAATTCAGTATTCTAGTTTTTAATTTTTAAGTGAGTTATGAACATTTTTTAATGCAATAATTTACATGCTAAAAATGTATGTATTGTAAAAAGCAATGTACAATCAAAGGTAATTAATATTTTTAAGCAGCGATTCTCAAATTTTTTTTGCTAATTTTACATGCTAAAAATGTATGTATTGTAATACCTAATGTACAAACATTATATTCTTGATATGGAAAATCCAATTGTCTACGGTGGTTACTGCAAATTGTTTGTAGCTGACAATATTTTCCATTTTGTAATTAAAATGTAATATGATAATAATCTTTATGTTAAATTTGGTGTAAATACATTCCCAGTAAAAAGATTGCGTTTAACCAGAAATATTAATAGTGGGCATTTTGATGTTTATTTATCTATTTCTAATATTCCTAATTTTAGCGAAAATGTAATTTTTACTACAGAGAGCAATTTGTCTATTTGTCATAATGTAATAGTGTCACAGACAATTTAATTAATAAAAGTTAGAAGCGTTGCCGTGCTAGATGTGCAGATAAACCTCGAAGCAACCAAGTCAAGGAAGCCAAAAAAAGATGAGAAAACCATTTTTCGGTCTGAAAATTCATTGCGCAAATGGAAAATTATTAAATTAACTGGTCTTGCATATCATCCCACAATTGATTATAAAAATTACATTGGCACTATGAACTAAAATTGTAAATTATATAACGCTCTCAAATGAAAGGCGAAACACCTGGTATGTGCTACAATTTAGGTAGAACAAAACTCGATATCTTGCTACAGCCATCAGGACCGGCCGTTACGCAGTTTACTCATGGGTGACCATCCTGATCAGTTATCACAATCACTTCATTAATAGTACAAGGAAATATAATGTTTGTTTTCAAATGACATCGTTTGGTGCTAAACAAGTCGTTGAAGAAGGTTTTATGCCATTTTTTAAAGTTCAAGGCCAAGTATACCATTTGTTTGGCAGTTTGATTCCAAACACTCAGGAAAATCCAAAATGTTTACAAATATATTTTGTTGGCAAAGATGAAAAAGAAGTTCAACTTAGCTATTTTCTTTATACAGAAGTTAAATGAACATTAGTCAAACAGCTACAAAATATGCTGAATACTGAAAATAAGTATATTCGAGAATTTAAAACCACAGTAAAGAATGCAAGTCAACATTCTACTAATTTTAAGGTAGTGATTAACGTAGATAGAAAACCTAATAATGGATACAAAGGCTGTTACAATGCAGCAACGGCTAATGAAGTAGTTTTAGTAATAGTTGGGCAGCAATTTGAAAAACGAGATATTATCATTCAAAGCCATGATAATCGACTACAACAGATAAGTGAATTACACAGACCCTACGACCCACTTCAATACCCTCTAATGTTTTGTAATGGAGAAGATGAATACTCGATAGATGTTTTACAGAATAATACTCAGAAAGATGCAAATAAAAATTGCTTCGTCATGGACCATTGTTAAACCAATATTTAATAGATATGTACGCCAAAATAGAGACTGATTGACTAGATTAATCAAATCATCAAAAAAATCTTAGAGCAGATAAATATGTTCATTTAAAAGATGCCGTTGGAAGACAAGATATTGAAGCCGATCAACTTGGAACATTAGTTGTGTTGCCATCATCTTTTATAGGAGGTCCATGATATATGCATAAACGATCCCAAGACACACTGACGTACATTCGGCACTATGGAAGCTCAGATATATTCATAACTTTAGCATGTAATCCAAAAATGGCAAGATCTCCAAGAACCACTTGAACTTCTTTCTACCAGGACAATAACATTACATCGTCCAGACATCATTGCAAGAGTTTTTAATTTAAAACTTAAGAAGTTAATGGAGTTGTTGAAAAAAAGGTGATTTGTTTGGGAAATTGAGATGCCATATATATTTCATTGAATGGTAGAAGCGAGGCTTACGTACAGCTATTGCTATGGTTAGAGAATCGAATATTATCAGATATGATAGGTAAACTCGTGAGTGCTGAGATTCCAAATCCAGTTATAGATCCTTTATTGTACGAGATAGTAAAGGCTAACATGATACATGTGAAATTCTTCTTGCATGAAAGAAGGTGTTTGCAGCAAACGTTATCCAGTTACCCTCATTAAAGAAACTCAAAGAGGAGAAGATACATAGGTATCCAAAATATAGAAGGCGATCTATAAATGATGGAGGTTTCAAAGTGACTATTAAGTCTGACTCAGAGGCGGTTTGAATGTATTATATTTAGTGGTGCAAGACAATATATAGACACACACTCACCAACCYCCCCCCCACCCTTCACCATAGAAATTACAAATAAATATTTTTTTATAGGTTTATAGTTTATAATTATAAGGTCCTTATATTCTTAACTCGACGCTTTCAACAGTTTCAGCCACGATTAGGTACTTTATTATTTTTTCATTTATTGAACATTAAAATTAAACACTACGGTCAACACATGCTCAACCAAGACCACCCCATCCCACTAACATTGGTGGTGCAGTGCACCAAAAACATTATACTCAAACCGCCTCTGGTCTGACTATTAAGTCAGTTTAAATATTTGTATACACTCTTTCAGCAAAATGTAAAGTTCTTCTATTCTGAAAGCTCTAGTCAACAAAAGAAAAAAGTTACATAAATCAATTTGGTTTGATAACTTTTGGTTATACATCTTTTGTTCATCGGAAATCGATAAATATTACCTATGTATTATAGGTATTGCTTATATTATATAATTCAAATTTTTGTTTTATGGGTAAATCAAATATAATAATAATGATATATGAATATTGAATTTTGAATAATGATTGCAAATATTTCTGAGTTCATGAACCATAATAATATGCTATGGTATTATCACAACGATAAGAATTGATAAAATACCATAGCCCACAAGCAACATGGCGGAAAAGTGACGACTCCCGGCTTGCTTGTCAATTTATACAAGTTAGCAATCTAGTTTATGATCTATATCTGTAATGGCATGCTCCAGAGTCAATACCCCCACGAGTTTAGTTATTTTGGC